GAGAATCCCAAACAGTCTCTGTGCTTGATCCCACAAACCATGAGATCATGACCGGAGCTGAAATCAAGAATTGGATGCTCAACCACCTCTGTCACCCACGCACCTCTCTTTGCTTAGTTTTCTTGTTTCATTACCCTGGCTAGGACTTCTAATACTATGTTGAATAAAAGTGGTGAGATTGGGCATCCTTTTCTTGTTCCTGATGTTAGAAGGAAAACTTTTAGCTTTTCATTGTGAGCTTAATGTTAGCTTGTGGGCTTGGTGTGTGTGTGTGTGTGTGTGTGTGTGTGTGTGTATTCTTTGCTATGTTGAGGTACTTTGCCTCTATATTTAGTTTGTTGAGGAAAAAAATCATACTTTGTAATAAAAGTCAATACACCTGATTCTTTAAAAATTCTTAACTTACAAATTCCTTAATTTGGTAAAGGGTATCTACTTTTAAAAAAACACACCTATGGCAAACATTTTATTTGTTGGTAAGTTATTGAAAGCTTTTCCTTTGAGTTATCTCTATTATCTCCTGCGTCCAATATTATACTGGAAGTCCTAGGCAATACAATAAGGCAAAGGAAAGAAATAAAAGGCATTTGAACTGTCATTCATAGATGACACGATTATGAGCATAGAAAATCCAAAAGAATCTCTAGCCAATTACTAAAATTAATATGAGTAAATTTGTCAAAGCTGCTGGATACAAGGTTGGTTGTATTTCTGAATTTTAGGCACAAAGAATTAGGAAATTTCAAAAGTATTATTATTGACCATTGCATCAAAAATCATATACCTAGTAAAAAATTGAAAAGTGTTCAAGACCACTCAACACCACACAGAACACTGGAGAATATTAGTGACAGAAATTAAGATTTAAATAAATGGTGGGATATGCCATATTGAAGAATTTGAAGCCACAGAGGTCCCAGGATAGCTCATTTGGTGAAGTGTCTGACTCTTGATTTTGGCTCAGGTCATAATCTTGTGGTTCATGAGTTCAAGCGTGCTTCGGGGTCTGTGCTGACAGCATGGAGCCTGCTTGGGAATCTTTCTCTGCCCCTCCCCTGCTTGCTCTCTTTCTCTTTCAAAAATAATAAACATTAAAAAAAAAAAGAATTAGAAGGCTCAATATTGTAAACGTACCAGTTTTACCAAGAATCTATAGAATCAATGCACTTGTAATCAAAATTTTCAGATTCTTTTATGGAAGGTGACCAGCTAAGACTTACTGTAAATTAATTACACTAATTAAGTTGATGTGAGATCAGTACAAGTGAAA